GATCGCTCGGGTTCAGTAACACGTAGCCTGCAGTGCAATTGCTCGGGTTTAGTTAGAGCGCAACGCCTCGCTCAGGTTCAGTTAGAGCACAATGCCTCACACACACGTGCGTACGTACGAGAGAAACATGCATTGCTCGGCCCCGACCACCCACCGTAACTGGGAACTCCCCCGATATTTTCCTCGCCCCCGCTTCTACCACGGTTTTCTCCATCATGGACGGCCCAAAGAATGTCATCAAGCTACGTCTCCGGCCCGTCCAGGAAGAAAAGCCCATTATCTGTCATGATTTTTTGTCATAGAAGTAGGAGCCCACCACATCTATGACGATATCGGGTTTTGTCACAATTATCGTCATAGAAGTGTCATAAGTATGACAGGAAAAAATTCGTTCGGCCCAAAATATCACAGATGTGTCTTTTTTTTGTAGCGCGCTTCTTCCATGTCTCGGCGTCTTGTCGGCGCAACAATATTCTTATTCCTGTCCTTAAGGATAACTCGGTGTGCGGTACACCTCCCACTCCCACAAATCTCTATTTCTCAAAGTCTTCTACACAGCTCTACTGGGCATGGTTCCTGTGAGCTCTTGGAACTTCGTTGTTACTGATCTTTACCAACATGAGGCGCCCCTCCCTGTTGTGCTCCCCCTTCTCTCCTGAGGAAATTAAAAAAGATTTTTTCGATGCCAATCCCCTGGCCAGCCTTTGACCTGTTGGCTTTGGCCCTGGGTTTATCATCGCTTTTGGCAGTTGGTTGAGCAGGATGTGGTGGCTGTTTTTTATGACTTCTTTCATGGTAGGTCTGATTTGGGCCAAATTAACAGGGCCTTCCTTGTCCTCCTCCCCAAAACCACAACCTCGACTTCTCTCATCGACTTTAGACCAATCTCGCTTCAGAACAGCATCATGAAGGCCATCATTAAGGTGCTAACCGCCCGGCTCTAGAAAATCATTCACTCTCTTGTTGATCTTGACCAAACTAGGTTCCTAGCTGGGAGGTGTATCTCTGAAAACTTTGTTTACGCGGCAGATATTCTTCACTCCTTCCACTCTAGAAAATGCCCCACTGCGCTTCTCAAACTTGATTTCCGCAAGTCCTTCGACTCCGTTAGCTGGGATAGTCTTGCTTGTATCTTGCGTGCCTATGGTTTCCCTCTTGTGTGGTGTGCTTGGATCCACACGATCCTCTCGACCGGGCATACCTCCGTCCTCCTCAATGGGGTCCCCGGCGATTGGATCCGTTGTCGGCGTGGTCTTCGGCAAGGGGACCCGCTCTCCCCTTACTTGTTCATCATTGTCGCGGATGTGCTCCAACGTTTGGTGAAGCAAGCGTGTGGGGATGGGGTGCTCTCTCACCCCCTTGTTGCTGGTGCGGCATGTCCTATTCTGCAATATGCAGACGACACCCTTGTCATTTGCAATGCTGACAAGGCTTCCATGCTTCCTCTCAAGAGAGTCCTTGACGATTTCACCGCGACCACCGGGCTCTCGATCATTTTTTCTAAATCCATCGTGGTCCCAATGCATGTCTCCCCGGATACTGCAGCCCACCTTGCGGCTATCCTAGGATGTGTTGTCTCTTCCTTTCCCCAAACGTACCTTGGAGTTCAGCTCTCTCCTGTCAAACTCCCGACCTCTGCCTTTGCCCCCTTAACGGAAAAAATAGACAAAACCTTGGCTGGCTGGCAAACACACCATCTTCCGTTCGGCGGGCGGATGGTCCTTTGTAACTCTGTTCTTAACTCTCTCCCTTCCTATTTCATGACCTATCTTGTGCTGCCCCTGGAGTGCTTGAGTCAATTGATAAAAGGCGTCGGTCGTTTTTCTGGTCAGGGACGGAGAGGTGCTCTGGTTCCAAGTGTCTAATTTCTTCGTCCACAAGCTCCATGGTTACGTGGACAACTCCTGGACGATCTGATACCGGCGATGGCATCGGGGCGACCTTGGTGACATCCCCTCCAAGCTCTGTCATTGAGCAGCTCATGGCAGACGGCTTGGGAATGCACAGGGCGGTTACCAGAGTTGCCGTCGGTGACGGCAGGCGGACATCCTTCTGCTTGGACCGCTGGCATACCCTTGGTGTGCTCGCATTCTCCCTCCCGGCGCTCTTCTTGCACTGTGTAAGGCCGAATGCTTCGGTGGCTGATGTTCTCTGGGAGGGTGTTGGTAACATGTTGCGCAATAGGCTTTCTGCTGCTATGGAAGTGGAGCTGGATGCGCTCTCTGAAGCCATCAACGGTGCGGTGCTCTCTGAAGCAAACGACTCATGGTCCATGGCATGGGGTGCTGAAGTTGTTGTGTCTACCGGCTCTCTGTATGGGCCAGAATGCTCCATGGGGTTCAGTCCTGCTATGCGAGCAAGATTTTGGGGGTGGAATCTTCCTCGGAAAATCAAGATCTTCATGATTTTGCTGACAGCTGATCGACTGAGCACGCATATGAACTTGGCCTGGAAAAACGGCTCCCCCTCTGACCAATGTGAGTGTTGCTCTGAGCTCGAAGATGGTGATCACTTATTTGCTAGTTGTGCTCTTAGTGCCTCTGTCTGGGCTGCTGTTGGCCTGTGGCCTGCGCCGGTGACGGTCAGGCTGATCCTTGATGCTCAGCCGCCTCTGAGGCTATGTTTGGTTGCTAGGGGAGATGGACCCGGGGAAGAGAGGCCCTGGTCAAAATATTCTTGACAAAATTAAAACCACGTGGCAGATTTGCTTTACAATTTGGGGGACTCTGTGAGGTGGGGATTTATTTCTGCAACTTCTTCCGTGAGGTGCTGGGCCTATGTAGCTGGAGGAGGATCAAGCACACCATGCACCTGGTCGACCGCCCGGCGGCCATAGCTGCATGCCTCACCTACAGGAAGTCATGGTCTCATGGAGCAGCAGCGCAACGGGCGTCGTCGCCCCCGCCGGAGGGGCGGAGCGGGAAGGTGGAGGGAGGAAGGGGGTGGTGGGTGGGGTGGGGTCGCTTCCAGTTGGCGGAGAAGGGTGGGGAGCGCTCGACCTTGTCGCCATTGCCTCTCGTTCGCGAGACAGAGCGACGAGGGTTTCCTCCCCGACCTCGTCGGGCGTGGAAGCCTCACCCGGGGAAAAGTCGTGGATAGGGCAGGGCTGCCCTTATCTCATGGGTCTCCAAATGCGACGGCGGATCTCCCGGGGATAAATTGTTCCGTGGTTTCTCGGCCCGTGTAATCGGTAGGGATGCCCACGGGATCGTGTGAAACCAAATGAGGCCTGAATGTGCCTCTGTCATCCTGGGAGGCGGGCTACATGGTGCTGCTCTGGCAGATTTTGAAGGCCGGAAATGATCTTGTATTCAATCGAAAGACCTGCACTATGCGTGAGGTGATTACAAGAACTATTAGTGACCTTGACCTTGCTCGGGC